GGAAGAAAATGGATGGATGGATGGATGGATATTTAGTTTTCATTCACTCTGCCTGTTTGGATCTGGGGGTGGTACTGTCCAGTAAAGTCCTGCAGAAGCCTCAGCTCACCTGGACAGGTGAATAGGAGGGTCCACAGAGACCCTTCCTCTGCAGCAAAGCTAACTTCAGGGGCGGCTGCTGCCTGGACAGAGAAAACACAAAGATTAAGATGGGTGGAGCATAAAGAGCAGTTTAAACCCACCTCCTGTGTGTGCAGACATACTTCAGCAGGTGTCAGCTTGTTCCCATTGTGCACCTGGACCTTCCGGTCCTCCTGGCTGTAGCTGACGTGCAGGATGACCTGAGGCAGGAAGTAGGCCATGGGGAACAGGTCTCTGAAGATCCCGTAGTGCTCTGCCAGCCTCTTCAAATGGAACTTCTTGTCCGTCTTCTCCCAGGTCTCCTGCACACGGTCCAGAGGGATCCTGACTGGTGGAGCAACAAAAACACAGACTTTAAATGAAAAGGAGCCAGCAGAGACCTCCCCACCTGGAGGGCGGAGCTTACAGGTACGAAGACGAGAAGCCCTCTCCAGCTCTGCATTGTTCTTGTTGTCCTTCAACAGCTGCATCCTCTGCTTCAACTCCTCCTTCCTGCAGCGTTGAAGCGGAGGCAGACCGATGTCCACCAGCTCTGCACCTTCAAACACACACACAGTGTGGAGTGAGATCAGACGGTCTGGACCGGGTCAGCCTGGCACCTGCAGTCCTCACCGTGTTCAGGGTCAGCAGCCTCCTTGTACTTCCTGTAGGTCTTCCACCACACCTCCTTGTTATTGGCCTCTGAAGCCTTTTTGAAGTACAGATTGTAGGTGTTGTACTTCTTTAATGAGTCCAGGTCTGAAACATCAATGTCTTCATTTGGCATGGGACCCAGAGGGGCCTGGCGCCACCTGAGGACCGCTGGAGAACCACCAGCAGTGATAACCAGTGTTAGTTTATTATTAATAATGTTAATAACAGACCTGTTTGTTCAGCTGGACCAGGGCTCTGCAGCCTTTATCATCAACAGAACCATGTCTGCTCCTTGTCTCACTGATAAATGTGTCCAGAGCCACAAAACAAGCTACAACTGGGATTATCAACTGGTGGTCCGTGGGCCTATTGGAGGCCTTTTGGGAAAACTTTACGGTCAGTGGTGGTGACATTATAAAACAAAAGAATATTGTTATT